CCGCAGAAACTTCTACAGTCGTCACAAACGCTACATCCGCATGAACGGTGCGTACTCTAAGGAACTGGCCAGGACAAACGGTCACCTCCAGGGTAGCTCTTGGTCCCTGGACGACATTAAGCTGCTCATGTGTGTGTGGACCAAGAGACAGCATCGATACGTTCCGCGATCACTCAGCACTACCTTTGTTGACGACAGCAACTCCACTACTCACACCGCGCCTGAGTTGCAGAAATCTCTTGATGAAACCGCCAAGTTTGATCGATTTTCTGGTCAACGCATTCACCCTGGCAAAGTGGCGGGGTGGGCGCTCACCGACGAGCTTCACACCGCCGTTACCCAGCTCACTCTGGCGGAACGGCCCTTACGCGTGGTCGACTCCTTCAAGCTCGTCGGGAGTTACATCAACGCCGAGGCAGCGCCGGCTCCAGCCGCGCTTAACCTCACGGCCACCGCTGACGCCCGTGTTCGCAGGGCGACTAGTCGCCTGCCGCGCATTGGCAAGCTCCCATCACCGATGCTTATTAAGGCGCGGCACGCCCGTTCCCTTGCTGCCAGCGTCTGTACCACGGGCACCGACATTCAAGCCCCATCAGGCCCCGTCAAAACTGCCTACAACCATGCCCTTAAGGCGGCTATCCGCCCCAAGGGAAACAGGTGGGTCGAGTTTTGGACCCTCATGGCCGTGTGCGTCCCAGGACACGCCCTGGAGATTGACGCCATTACGCAGCGTGAAGTCTTCCTGTGTCTGCGGCGACAGGTTAACCGCGACGCTACTCTCTGCGGTCTCGTCAGGGATCTCCAACACCATGTCCAGACCCTATTCGGGGGAGGACCTGTCGGACGACTTGTCCAGACGCTTCAGCAGCTCCGTTGGACCTGGCCCACATTTGGCATCATGTACGACGACTGGGGCTGTCAGATCAGTTGGCTGAACTTACCCCAAAACGCCTTCCTTCACATGCTGCGAGCCTCACAACGCAGAGCCTTTCTGAGAAAGATCAAGCCACGGCGTCATGACCTTGGCCACCTGGCCTCTGTCAGACAGGGCCTCGACCTCTTCGCCAGCACGTGGCTCGCCCGAACGAAAGGAGCAGCCAAATGCAATGCCTGGCAGCTGGCGCTCCTCCTGAACTACCTGTCGGGCGGGGACCACACCCAACAGCGACGATCCCGATCAAACACGTCTGCTGACCCCAGCCCCATCTGCCGATACTGCGACGAGGAAGAGGAAACTCAGGAGCACACTGTCCGCGACTGCAAGTGCTGGGCCCGTGAAAGAGTCCCTCTCACCACCCTCATCAGTGACGAGCAGTGGGCCCGTCTTCCGCCGCACACAAGACACTGCGGGCTCTTCGATGAAGACCCAGCCCTCCTCGACCTGCAGGCCGACCTCGCGAGGGACCCGCTACCTCAGCCCATACCGCGGCCCCCACCTGAGGGAGATCCTGCGGCTTCAGCCCAGGACTCCTACACCACCTACCTTGACCACGACACTGGTTGGACATGGGTCTACGCTGCCACGGACGGTGCATGCACCAACCAAGCCATCCCATTGCTTGCACGAGCGGGCTACGGCGTCTACTACGGCATCGACCACCGCATGAACTACAGTGCACGCGTTCACGGCATTACGCAGAACGCACAGCTTGCGGAGACCCTCGCCATTGTCCACCTCACGGCATGTGCTGAACGGCCCGTACACGTTTTCGTGGACAACCAGGCGGTGGTTGATGGGTTCCAAAGGATCATCGACGGACACTCACCACCGCAGGGCACGCACGTGGAGCTCTGGGAAAAGATCCACCGATGCGTCATGGCCAAGCCCAACATGTTCCGCGTCGAGAAAATCGCAAGCCACCAGGGCGACATGGGCATCGACCTCGGGCTCATCGGGCCCATCGCGGAGGAGTTCAATCGTCAGGCTGACGCCCTCGCCACAACGGCGGCACGTACTCATAACCTTCCAGACGACATTGTCGAAGCTGCCAAAACACGACATCGCCAAGCGACCGTGCTTCATGGAGTCGCTGTCGCCATCTACGAGCGTAGACACCGTACACTCCCCCTCCCACACCGCAGGGCTGGGTTCACAGCTGCGGAACTCAACAAAATGGAACCAAATCCCCTGCTGTCTGACCAGGCACCACCCGCGGCTGGACCAGACATCCCACAGAACCCGGACGAGCTCTGGGCCGAGGCCCAACGGGCGATATTCGACGAACAGGAGGACGACCCGTTCGGCTTTGGTGGGGGCATGGACTTCCTGGGCGACGGGCCAGCCAGCGCCAACCCTGCCTCGTCGGGCACCCGCACGGCGCCCCCGACTCCGCCATTGAGAGCGGCAGCGCACCCACATGACAACGCCGCTCATTTTCAAGACGCTGACGAACAGGAGGATGACCTGTTCAGCTTTGGTGGGGGATCGGACGCTTTGGACGACGGACCAGCCAGCGAAAACCCTGCCCCGTCGGGCAACCTCTCGATCCCTACTGCAACTCCGTCCCCGAGAGCGACATCGCTCACATACGATGATATCGGCCACCGCCAAGACGCCGACCACGACCTGGGTGACCCCCGCGGACTGAGTGGCATGGAGGACGCACCGCCGATACCACACGCCGCCGACCATGCCGCCCTACCGAGACGCCAACCTTCTACGCGACCGACCTCAGAGCCCTTGCACGGCATCATGACTGGTCCCACCGCGCAAACCACTCCGCCCCCCCACCGCCGGCAGCCCGCGGGGGCGGCTTCAGCCCCCCCGCAGGGCACTAAACCAGACAGGCCCTCGTGCCCCGTCCACGCTTCCATCGTTGCTGAGCGAGAGGAAGCGGCTCTCCCGACCTCTCGGGGCGTGGCCCTAGCGGCTCCAGCCCTGGGGTCGCGTGTGCCCCTCCAGTCACCCTTCAAGGGTGACGGACGACAGCGTACAGGGTGCCGCACTACGCTAGTCCACCATTTGGACAGGCGTACCGAGGACCTCGCCTCTGTCTCGAGGCTCTCGGCTGCTGGCACTGAGCAGCCACCCCTCACCGACCGCGAAACCGAGCTGTCACAGGCTATGGCTGCTCTCCAGCAGAGGTGCTTAGCTCTCGCCGCGGACCTCGCCGCCGCCCAAGCTCGTCAAGGCCCTCTACTCCAGCGCCTCCACAGCGCTGGGCGAGCCTTTGCCGAGCTGCTCACGGCCTCGCCCGATGGTGCCGTGCCGTCACTCACCATCCAAGCTATGTTGTCATCGTTCCGCGGCGCTCCACCTGGTGCCCCGCGCTAATCTCCTCCTTTCTGCCTGCCCGTGTGTACGCGTGGCTCCGCGTCCACGGTGTCAGGGCGTGGGGGCGGGGGGTGCCCCGTCACTGCGCGCCGCTTAGCGGCCAAGCGCCCAACTGGCGGTCTGCCAAGCCGCCTAGCCACGTGTCAGCACGTCGCCTTTCTTGTTGGGGCCTATTTCCTCACGCGGTCTGACAGGTGAGATCATCATCGTCTGTCCGCCGTCTGTAGCGTCTGTCGCACTGCGCCGGGGGAGGGGGTTTTTGTTGCCCGCCCTCGTATCTAAAGGCTGCACCGCCGCAAATAGTGCATGCGAGTTGTCGCACCGCAGTGCGCCTCGCGGACGGACCCTGGTCCGCCTACTTGTCCGATCTCTCTCTCTCTCTCTCTCTCTCTCTCTCTCTCTCTCTCTCGCTCTCTCTCTCTCTCTCTCTCTCTCTCTCTCTCTCTCTCTCTCTCTCTCTCTCTCTCTCTCTATATATATATATATATATCCGCCCCTCTCTCTCTCTCTCTCTCTCTCTCTCTCTCTCTCTCTCTCTCTCTCTCTCTCTCTCTCTCTCTCTGTCTTCTCAAGTCGTCTCCGAGCCATCGCACGCGCGCGGGCCCCATCGCTCGGGCGCCGCGCCGCGAGCCGCCGCTTCGGCTGAGGCGCGGGCTCGGCGCGCGGCTCTCAGCGCAAGCGGGGGAGACGAATCGGCTTTGCTATATGGCTTTGAGTTTGGTGTTAGGCAGAGTCCACCATCTTCAAAATTGTGAGCCATGGGCAGGCGATTGTCTGACCTCACCCCCGCGCACCTCTCCACCTCGCATTCGTCCTCGTCGAAGTTCGCAACAGTTTTGGTTCGAGTGCCCACCGCCGTTGTCGGGGCGCTGGCTCAGGGCCCACTGCATTGCCCTCGCTGCCTTGCCGCTCGGCCGCCGTCTGATGCCATGGGCAATGGCTAGAAGTATATCCCGCCCGCGAAGAAAGGCAAGTTGCGCGCCTTCTTGAAGGACGCCGGCAAGAAAAAGGCTGCCATGAAATGCACAACTGCGATAAACAATAAGAAGACGGGAGGTGTCGCCAAGGTTCGCTCTCCGAAGAGGGCGCCACACGTGCGCCACGGGGCCTCGGCGACAAAGTCGCGGCGAGACCGCGAACAATGGGAGCGCTGCGTAAGGACATCGTGAAGCACCCTCTGAAGGCAATCATTAACCTGCTCAAGAAAGACGGCGCGCTGCCCGAACGGCGCGGCGCGACTTGCCCGCGCCGCCAGACATCAACCATCGGCCCCATCAAGGATTTCGGAGACAAGAAGGGCGGGCGGATACACATATGCAAGGGCAGGGGCTGCAAGCGCTGTTCTCTGCCGCGCGCCTGTCACCCCATCTTTTGCACTGGTTGTGGGCAGGTCTGCACTGGGCTTGGCGACCAGGCTGCGACCGTGTTCTGTGCTCGCTGAAGAAGGACCACAAGTTGGCGGAAAACGCGCGCAAGTCCCTGTGCGATGCCAGAGCCAAGTACGCGCGGCAAGAAGAAGGTCCGCTTCCGCAAGGACGTCGAGTGGCCCGACGTCGAGGCGGACGAGGTCGACATTGCCAAGGGCGGGGGCCCAGACGCCACTCGCGCACCAAGAAGCCAGTCGCGTGGGAGCAGCGGGGCGGCATTGTCCAGCGCGGAGACCCAAAGTCGCTCGTCCTCTTCCAGCTTCGCCCAAAGAAAACAATGCAGAGGGCGCCAGGCCCAGGCCCGATCCGCAAGCGCGACTGGGCCACGCTGGCCCAGAAGTGGCTCAAGCAATGCCAAGTCATGCTCCACACGGACGGCGCCCGCTCCTACAAGCTGCGCGTTGACGGCGCGGCCCGCGACTGGGTCGCCCACATGAAGAAGCGCGTGAAGGCCGCTGGTGGGGGAGGGGGGGCGCGTGACCACCCCTCGCCGACGCCGATTGCGGCGGTGCCCTTTTCTGCCACATGGTGAATTGGCCCGGCCACTTGACCAGAAGTGCGATGCGGGCCTGCCAGAGTCGGCGCAGGCAAAGGACAGTTGGCCCCTTTGCCGTTCCTCACAGGTGAACGGCAAGCACGCGCGGCTGAAGACACACTTCACGAAGGTCAGGGATGACGGCGTCGCTGACAATGGAAGCCCCGACAAGCAAAAGCGAATATGGGTGAAGTGCGGGGCCCAGGTCATTGACCGCGCGCGGGGCGGCTTGAGGCGCCATTTTGGCCCCGGCCGCAAGGTGAACTCCCGCGCGCTGGCAAACAAGGCGAGGTCCTTCCAGCGGTGCAACTGGGGCAAGGGCGAGGACCTCTGGACGCAGACGGGCAAGATGCTGACCGCCCTGTTCTCGCAGCGGCACGTGTGAGCGAGCACCTCTGTCGCAGCAGAAGCATTGCATATCTCTGTCTCGCGTGCCACCCTGGCAAGGTACAGCTTCCCGCACGGCGAAATGATGGGCCAGCGCAGCGAGAGCGCCCAAGCGAAATGCATTCGGCTGTGCATATTTGGTTCTGGGAACGTCAAAACAGCGCGGCATGAGAACACGGAGGTTGTCTCCACCATGGCGTGATCAGACGTGACCGTCGCCGTCGTCGCGTCGTCGCGTCGTCGTCGTCGACCTTCCCACCGCTCTCCCGTGGCCCCATCCTTGCTCCCCCCACCGCCTTGCCCTGCCGCCGCTACTGATCATGCCTCCTCAGATGTCTCGCGTTCCACTTCATCGGCCTGTGCGCGCATACCTCTCGAAGGCCCTGGCGCCGCGGCCATTGAGGCTGAGAGGTCGCTAGCCGCGTTCGCCCGTGATCTCGCGCGCTTCCACCGGGCAGCTTGGCCCGCGATGCCGAATGCGCACCCGGCGGAGGCCGCGAACTTGCCAGCTTGCGGCGCGAAGTCGCTCAGGGCGTGGCTGGAAGAGGAAAGGCGCGCCAACGACACCATGGTTGCTGCGTGGAACAATGCGAAAACCATGCCCGTTCTTGAAGTGCTGGCGAAGCCCGACGTGGTAGGCGAGGTGGGCAAGAAGGGCGCCGCGACCGCCTGGGACCCCCCTATCAAGCAGTGGAGGTATTGCGCGAAAAGCCGCACCAGGGGCTTCGTCGACGTCGCGACGAACTGCGGCGACCTCTCGAACGTCGATTGGGGGGCTGTCAAAGAGGCCGTGAGCGAGGGCAGGTGCAGCGACTTGCCGCCGCCCCTCGGCATCTCCTATGCGGGCCACAAAGAAGTCTCCTGCGTGATGAGCCTGCGCGTGTCCAAGTCCACGCCTGATGACGCATTCTTGGCGGTGAGCGCGCGCTGTCCTGGGCGGTGGGGACGGGGAGCACATGGCGACCATCCTTGAAAAGATCGTCGAGGGCGACCCGTGCGTCTTGGACTACCGGCCCAATACTGTTAACGCGGCGCGGGCAATGCAGGTGGTCATCGAGGAAAAGGGCGGCTCATTGTCCCGCTATTGGGGTTGGCCGAAGCCCGGGCAGCCGCGGAGGTCGACGCTGGCGAGGCCGCGGAGAGGACGGCCGCCCATGACAGGACTTGGGGGCTCGCGCAGACGGAAGCGCCCCGCGGGAACCTCGACGGCCAGAAGCTGTTGTGGGTGGAGCATCAGCACGTGGACCCAGAATTCCCGATTCACGACATGAAGCGGGAGTTCGTGAACAACTGCCTAGAACTAACTGCTGACCGCGACCACTTCGCCACCAAAGAAGATTATCACCCGCTGTTGAAGCCTGGCATCCGCAAGGAGTACATGCCCACCGCGAGCAGAATCTTGGCGACGATGATGGGCAACGCTGCGCTTGCGATCGGCGAGGCGGGCTGCGCCATGGCGATCGGCCGACGCGTCGCTGACGTTGCGAACGAGCGTCGCCCTGGTCGCGCCCGCGCCGCCGTTCGCGCGTCGGCGGGGATGGACTTCCCGAGGTCGGCGAGATCTGGGCGCCATGCATCTTCGATGACGGCGACCTCGCAGACCAGCGGCCGCGCGACCTCAAGGCTTTCTCGACCCCGCGCAGGCCGAGGCCACGACGCGCGGGCGCCGCAGCGAAGTTCGCGCGCGGGCAGACAAGGTGCCAGGCCAAGCCGAAGCGTTGGGCCCAGCCAGATCTGAATTGCAGAACGAACGTTTTTGGGTTGGGGGGGGTCCTTGGGCCACTGAAACGGCAAGTGCGAGGCGATGGCGCGCGGCGCGGTCGTCGGCCGAGAAACTGGCAGGCCCTTCTTCTCGCCCGGGCCCGGCTGCGATAACGAGCGCAGCGCCCGCGCCGAACCGACGGGCGAGGGGCGGGCCTTCCCCGCGACTTCCCCCAACGCGGCCACGCAGACTACTTCGCATTTGGCGGGTGTGATCCGTCAAGCTTCCCCAAAGGGAATGTCCGAAAGCAACGTGGGGGCCATGCTCAAGCGCTGCAACGCCCTGCTGAACGCGACGCACTAGGCATTCTACAGGCCCGCTGGCAACAACTCGCCCGTCGAGAAGTTGCCCTTCATGGGTGGCTATATCAAGCCCGAAGCAGGACAGATCCTCGCGCGGCTCCTCAGGCACAAGGTGCGCCGCGACCGTGAGGAGCACGACGGGCCCCTCGCCTTCGAGATGAAAGGTGTTCTCACGCCCATGACCGAGTCGCGCGCCGCAGCAGTGGGCGCGCGCGACGACGGGGGGAGCGGCGGCGCCGCCGCCGCCGCAGAGGGCAGCGCAACGGAGCACGCTCCAGGCGGCGTCGAGGCAGCGCCCGCTGGCGAAGAGACGTTCGCCCACGACGGCGCCGCTGACGCTGGGGCCGACGACGCTGTCGAGGAGGATGCGTTCGGCTTCGGCGGCGGCTTGGACGCGCCCGCGCCGACGCCCCCCAGAGAGCTGACGAATGCGCGGGGCGCCCGCGTGACCGAGCTCATCAGTGCCGAAGCGAACGCGGGCACCGTGGTGCCGCGGCAGGCGGGCGCCGCTTCTGGATCGAGCGGCGACGCGGTCGTGCCGAGTGACGCGGCGGCGCCCGCGGACGCAGCGTCCGACGCACGGGCCCACATCGCCAGTTGCCACACGGCAAGCTCTCGGACGAGGACCATGAGGAGCAGGTGGCGATCTTCCCCGGCTTCGCCGAGGTCCATAACGGCACGCGCGTGGACCTGCTCACCCCGCCGACGAAGACCAAAAAGACCACCTTGACCTGCAACGAGCCGCTCTCCCCAATCGACTACCAGGAGCAACGGCTGATTGTTGCATCGATGACTGCTCCGGCGCACGGGGGAACCATCGCCGTTGACGAAGCAGAGTTGGACCTCGAGGCCGAGATGGGGGCGATGCTCGATGCCAGCGCGGCGGACGTTGGCGAGGGCGCGGTCGCGCAGCCTTCAGTCCAGTTGGACTGAGCGAGCCGCATCCGATTTGCGATATGTTAGGCGAGATTTCCACATGCAATCCGCGTTGCGATATGTTCGGCGGTTAGTTGAAGAACGCCTAGGCGAAATGTGCTCGGACAAGCATATTGCTTCTGACTGGTGCGATCGGCGATGGACTGAATCCTATTCAGCGGCATCTGGGCGCGATCGGTCGTCTAGTGCTTCTGCTTAGTGCATTCGAATCCTGTCGGTTTGGGCTCAAGGATGGGGATGAGGAAGCAGGAATATGTGAGGGTGGTGATGAAGAGAAGGCGGAGGAGGAGGAAGAGGAGGAAAAGAAGAAGGAGGACGCGGAGGGGGAAGAGGAGCAGGAGAACAGAGCAGGATAGGAACATGGACCACGAAACCATGCCAGGCACAGTTGTTTGTCTTTGTTGGGCCACAGATACCACGAATCTATGCCAAACACAGTTTTCTTGTGGATTTCAAGAGGTCCCACCGATTTCCGTAGCCAAAGTCTCTGGACCTCCTGAAAGCCCAAACAACGTGTACCTGGCATGGTTTCGTGAGGAGCGTGGCCAAAAAAAACATGCCAGGCACAAGGTTTTTTGTTGCTTTGATCCGAATTCCTGACAAACAAAAACAAAAAACTGTGCCTGGCATGGTTCCGCAGGGAGCTGGCTACGAAATCATGCCAATCTCAGTTTTTGTAGCATAAATGCGTAAATCGCAACCATGCCCGGAACATGTGTCTCGTTTGTTTTCAGGGAATCCGGGGACTTTGGCTACAGGAATATGTGGGACCTCCTGAAAACCCCCAAAAAATGTGTCTGGCACGGTTTCGTGGTATCTCTGGCCAAAAAGCCCAAACAACTGTGCCTGGCATGGTTTCGTGGCTGGCTCCCTACGGAACCATGCCAAGCACAGTTTCTTCGTTGTTTGATCAGAGATCCTGACCCAAACACAAAACAAACCTGTGCCTGGCAAGGTTTCGTGGCCACGCTCCTCACGAAACCATGCCAGGCACATGTTTTTGTTCCTGGCTTCCGGAGGTACAAAGATTTGGGCTACGGAAGGAAATGCGTGGGACCTCCTGAAAACCCCAGAAAAGGGGGAGAACAAAAAAAGAAACATGTGCCTGGCATGGTTTCGTGGTATCTCTAACCCCAAAAAACAAGAACTGTGCCTGGCATCGTTTCGTGGCCACGCTCCTACGGCGACTCTCCTGACAACGTTTTGTGGAGGAGGAGGAGGAAGAGGAAGAAAAGGAGTAGGAAGAGGAGGGCGGGTAGGAGCAAACGATTAATGATCGTTTTGTGGCTTTGGTGGTTCGGGGGGTGCTCTGGGGGGGGGCGTCCATACATATATATATATATATATATATATATACACACACACATACATATACATATACATATATATATACACTAGAACCATCGCGCGCGCTTCGCGCGCGCTCAGGTTCTAGCAGGCCCCAGGCCTCGACGAATTCACTGCTCCACTGAAGTAGTGGACAACAGTCCACGCATGCCAATTTGGACCGAAAGGCCTTCGAGGAAAATGGTTGTGTAGGGGGGCGGAGGCCGTATGAATCGGGTTCCCAGAAGGCCTTCTGGGAGCATGGGTTTGGGGCGTCTTCGGGGGCCTGTTGGGGTCTGCCGTCGTCGTCGTCGTCGTCGTCGTAATGTCGTCGTCGCCTATTGGCCTATTGGGGTGCGCCGTCGTCGTCGTCGTCGTCGTCGTCGTCGTCGTCGTCGTCTTCGTCGTTTCGTCGTCGTCGTCGATTCAAGAGGGCACTTGGGGCAACTTTGTGCGAACCGATCTGCGGAGGGCCACGAGAAGGCGATCCGTCATGTCCCCAATCAACTTCCCAGACAGCTCTCCTGTAGCATGATGGTACTTCGAAGCCTCCGGAGACTCGCGGGCCCATGATGAACCATGTCCCCGGAAGGCTTTCTGGGGACATGGTTTGTTGGGGTGTGTTGGGGGGTCTCTTGGGCGTTCCCTGGGAGCCCCTTGAGGGCCTCCGGGAACTCTCGGGCCCATGATGAACCATGTCCCCGGAAGGTTTTCTGGGGACATGATTTCTTGGGGTGTGTTGGGGGGCCTCTTGGGCGTTCCCTGGGAGCCCCTTGGGGGTCTCTTGGGGCTTCCTGGGGGCCTCTTGGGCGCCTCACGGGGCTTCGGGGGAGCCTCTTGGAGGCCTCCGGGGCCTACAGGCGGCCTCTAGGGCCAGAGACGTCGAAATGTCGGTTGGCGGTCCCCCTCTGGGCCCTCTCTTGGGGAGCTGTTGGGGCGCAGTTGGGTTGTCTGGGGAGCCTCCTGGGCCGTCTTGGAGCCCTCTTCGGGGCCTCGTGGCCCGTCTTGGAGCGATCTGAAGGGCCTCCTAGCGAGGCCGTGAGGGAGCGCTGGGAAGCGGGAAAAGCGAGAACGCCTAAATCCTTCAAAAACCACAGGAAAATGAGCGAATCGTGCCTCCCAGGGCCCTCTTGGGGAGCCTCTGGAGTCCGTCCTGGAGAGTGTTGGAGTCCTCGTCGGCCGTCTTGAGGGCAGCTTGGACGTCTTCGGGGCCTCTTGGGACCGTCTAGGGCCGTCTCGGGACCTCCATTAGCCTGTCGTGGCCTGCTTCGGGGCGGGCCCGGGCCGCCTCGGGACCCCTCTGGGCCTTCTCTTGGCGCGCTTTTGGGGCACACTTGGGTTGTCTGGGGAGCATCCTGGGCCGTCTTGGGGCCCTCGTCGGGGCCTTGTGGGCCTTCTTGGAGCGATCTGAAAGGCCTCCGTGGCTGTGAGGCAGCGCTGGAAAGCGGGAAAAGCGAGAACGCCAAAATCCAAAGCACTCGGAAAACGAGTGAATCTTGCCTTCCAGGGCCCTCTTGGGAAGCCTCTTGAGTCCGTCCTGGAGCGTGTTGGAGTCCTCGTCGGCTGTCTTGAGGGCATCTTGGGCGCCTTCGGGGCCTCGTGGGACCGTCTTGGGTCCTCTCGGGACCTCCTTAGCCTGTCGTGGCCTGCTTCGGGGCGGGCTCGGGCCGCCTCGGGAGCCCTGGACCCCCTTCAGCAACCCCTGGTGAGTACCGATGGGGGGAACAGGCAGCGGACCGCCCCCCCCCGGGCCTACTCCGAGATAGAGAATCATGTTCTCGGGAAGCTTTCCGGGAGCATGATTTGTTCGGCAGAGGGGGGACTCTGGGGGCTTACCGAGGGGCGCCTTTGGGCCTTGTCGGAAGCCTATTGGAAACATGGTTGGGGCGGTGGGCGGAAGCCCAAGAAATCATGTTCCCAGAAAGCTATATGGGAAATACAATTTACCGAAGTGACTTGGGGGCCCGCAGGGGGCTTCCCTGGGGGTCCCTTGGGGGTCTATTGGGGCTTCCAGGGGGCCTCTTGGGAGCCTCACGGGGCTTCTTGGGAGCCTCTTGATGGCCTCCGGGGGCGTCCTAGGTAAAAAATACACCAAAATTGCCAAACAATAGTCCAAAAATAGTTTGGGGACTATTGTTTGAATATTGTTTGGCCTTTTTGGTGTATTTTTGGTGTATTTTCATTTTTTCGTCGAAAATCCCCTTGTAGGGGGACAGGCCGACTTAATCCTAGAAGCCTCTCAGGCCGGAGACCTCGAAATGTCGCGCTCTTCGGGCCCTTTTGGGTCGCTCTTGGGGCTCTCTTGGGGCGCTCGCGAGGCCCTCTTGACTTATCTGGGGGGCCTCCTGGGCTATCTCTGGGCTTTCTTGGGAGCCTCTCCGGCCGTCTTGGAACGATCTGAAGGGCCTCTGACGCGGTCCGGGACCGTGGGGAGGCGGAACATGGGAGAGAGCAAGAATGCTTTTCGGCTTCTGGGAGGAACCATTGGAAAATGAATGATTTTCGGCTTCTGGGGCCCTTTGGAGGGGCCTCTGGAGGCGCTTTGGGGGCGTTTTGGCGGCGTCGTCGGCCGTTCTGAGGCCATCTTCGGCGTGTCCCGGGCCTCTGGGCTGTCTGTGGGCGTCCTGGGAACCCGGGAATCATTTTCCTGGAGAGGCTTCCGGGAACATGATCGCCACGCACTGCGAAGGCGCCAAGGAGGCCCCCAGAAGGGGACCGGCGCCCGCGCCGCCACGGCGGCGCGAAGGTGCGGAGGACAGAAGGACAGGCGACGGGAGAGGAAGGGCCGATAGGGCGGGTGCGAACGGCACGCGCCGCCCAAGCGGCAGGAGGCACAGCTCTGACTGCATTGGATGAGCAGCGCGGTGAGGGTGGACCAGGTGTCCGTCGCCACCGTGCGGGGAAGGGAGGCTGACGGCGGGCGGGGCGCGATGAGCGGACCGCCGGGACGGCCAGGGAGAGACCCCCACGGAGGGGGAGGCCAGCAGACCAGCGCCCTGGGCCGAGGGGGTGCCCCTGCGGCCTCGCGCGCGGGGTCTGGGGGAGCGGAGAAAGCGCGAAGGCAATTAATTAACAGTCGCAGATCAGGTAGAGAGAACGCGCGTACGAAGTACCCGTGGCGACGAGGAGCGATGGCCGGCCGCTGGCGGAGGCGGGAATTATTGGAGATCCACCGGGAGGAGCACCCCGCGGGAGGAGCCTGGAGCCCAGCGCGTCGGGCCGACGGGGCTCCCTGCGGCCCCGCACGCTGGGGCAGGGCAAGGAGACGGGGCGGCTGGTGGGGATTTGTTCTTTGGTCGCGGCCGCCAGCGAAGGCGCAGGCGGCGTCCGAAGCCAGCCCGGGCTACGAGCGAAACCTAATTACCTAGCGCGCGCACTGACGGCTGCCAGATGCTGGTGGGGATACTTATTCGTTCGCGAGCGCAAGCGGAACGGCCGCGCGCCGTCGAGAGGGTCAAACAGGCCTCAAGCAGCGGATGATGACAGAAGCTGCGGGCACACGGTACGCTCAGAGGTCGAGAGCGAAGAGCAAAAACGCCGAGCCCACGTGCACAGAGAGCCTCAACAAACGTGTCCGCGAAGATCACGCACACATTTCGGGAGCTGCTGGGGGTATTTTTTTGATTTGCGGCCCGCAAGGAGAAGTCCAGAGGGCGTTTTGACCGAGGCTG